TAGTAATTCTCCCCCTTTTGCTTGGGTTTGGCACTGAAAGCTTTTTTGGGCCCATGGTCACTTATTTTGCAGATAAAATCACCAAAAACACTGTAATACGAAATGTTCCGATTGTATGCTTGGATGTTACCGCGGAGGCTGGCTGGTAAACAATGCCACTGCGGAACATGTGAACATGTGGCTCAGGCCGCACATAGACGCGTCTCGGACGAACAGCGTTGAGCGGGTTTTTTAGCGGTATGCGAGGCAAAATCTTAGCAATAAAATGTAGCGGTATGCGGATTTAACGTTATGTAAGGCCAACGGTATGCGGGGGTCCACTGTACTACTCTCATATTGTGTACAAGTTGTACAAGTTAGTACAGAATAAACAAACAGCAACACACCATTTTTAGAGTGAATGAAGATAATAATAATAATAATAATAATAAAAATAAAATAAAAATTATTTTTATTATTATTATAATAATAAAAAGCACTAAACCCACAAGGGTCATGAATTGCTATATATAGAGTAAAGGCATAAGAAAAGAATATTTTTCGACAGTTATCCTCCAGTTTGACTAGAGAAAACGTAATTCTTCCGACACTACCTACACAGCCGCTTTGTAAACAAATCTCATATTTACGTCAATTTCTATTCTGTGAGTGTATATATCATGTTTATATGCTATGTAACGGGTTTCATATATAATTTTGAGGAAAATATCATAGATGTATTAATAAAAATGCCTATAATAATGTAAAATAAGACATTTAGTGTGCCCAAGAGTGATTATTATTACGTAGTATTGGCGTCATGAGTAGAGACTTAGCAATCTTATTGTGTACCTGCACACCAGCACAGTGTGTAAGTATATTAGGTACTGGTACACATAAGTATAATTATCAGAGTACATATAAAATACGCAGTAACTTTAAAACACTTGAAATTTTGGAAAATTTCCTGACATAATAGATGTGGTTACGGAGAATGTAAACAAACTGTGTGGGGGCGCCGTATTTGAAAGACCACTTGCCGTATAGCAAATTTTGGTCATAATTTGACATAGCCATATTAGTGGAACGCCGTAAAGCAGGGCCCTACTGTGAAATTTATATATATTTTAAAATCATGTATAAATGTATATATACTGTTTACTATGTCGTGCCAAAATATTTAAAACTGGA